AGCAAATCCAGCTGGGGCTTCAATCAGTTACCGTGAGGATCTCACTAGAGCCCTTAGGGTGTTGGTTGTATCTTGAATTTGCAAATCCATGTGTGGGTCTTCCCCAGTCCCTCGTACTGCCCTCCGTTGTCCGTTCTTTGCAGCGCTGTTGCGGCCTCCCCATGGGAAGAGGGTCCTGACTTCTCCCTCCTCTCTGCCTTGCAGGCTGGGGCAGAGATCTCCACCGTGAACCCCGAGCAGTACTCGAAACGCTTCAATGAATTTATGTCCAATATCCTGACATAGTCGTCTTCAACCTTCAGCGAGAAACGAAGAGAAGAGGGGCTACTTCCAAACAGAGAATGCAGCCTGTGACACTAAAACAGACACTGTAGCAGCATGTGGGGTGTGCGTGTGTGTGTGTGTGTGTGTGTGAGCAGGAACGAGTGTGTGGCACTGTGTGACTTAAAAGAAAACTAATTCTAGGTGCACCCTCCAACAGTCCACTTGACCCAGGTGGAAAAGTGGTTTTTTATGTTACAGAAGTGCCCAGACATAGATTTGAGGGCTTTTTAAAACAAGAAAAGTGCATTGTTTCAGCACTGCTCTTTCTAATGACATTTTCTCCTCTCTGATCAAGAGAATCCTGTAGGGATATGACATGTGGCACTGTATAAAAGGGTCGCTCTAGATCACGTTCAGTGAGAGTGAAGCAGTGCCTGACTCCACAAACTACTACTACTTTTTTTTTTATTGGACTGTCTACCAGAAAGACACACAAGCCCTTTTATTTCCCTCTTGGTAGGAATTGGAAGGAAAATTGCTCACCATTTCGAGGATGGAAACTAATCTGACAAGAAGGAATCGCTGAACTTTAACTAGGTAAATTCAGACTGGGACACTTTATATTTTTTGGTTAATTTAAGTAAAGAAAACTTTTTTTTTTTGTAACTGCACTTGATTTACAAGAACGATGAGGGAAATGAACATCTACCAAAGATGATCATGTTCAAAGGTGTAACTCCTAAGAGCCTAAAAAATCAGTGTGAGAAGAAGTAAAGACCTTGAAGAGCCTCAGAAAATAACATGCTCAACCCCATCATGCTTTCAATTGGCTAGCTATGAAAATTTCCTAAAGGAAAAGAAAAAGCATTTTGTACCTGTAGATTTGGAGTAGTATTTGACTATACGGAACATTTTCCTGTCAGACCGCAGTCAGGAATTGCCGTGTCTCTTAGATTACAGCTTCACATCACCGTTCTGCCAGTGTTAATCTAGCTAATGTTCGTCTTCCTAACTCGCCCAGGCTGCAACAGGTACTTGAATTTGTTTCCTGACGGAGGTCCTTTGACTAGTTGGTTTGTTTTGTAAAAGGCAACGCGACTTGCACGCGAAGGCATTGGACTCGCTCCCGGGGGAGCGCCGGAGATGCAGCTTTTTGGAGCAAGCTCCGCTGCTTGAGAGGACTCGGAACTGGAGCCGTGATCATTTTTATTCTCCTCTGCTCCATGTCCCCCTCTAGAGCGACGCTCGAGGAGCGGGAATGTTTGAACACTTGCACCAGATTATTTTTTTCCCCCTAAGGAATTGGAACTGATTTGCGCGACTGAATAATGTCCTGTTTTGTCTCCAGAATGCTTGCAATATTTTTCACAGCCAAGCTTGTCAGACTTGCTTTGGGTTTCGTTAGCTCTGCTGCACAGCAGTTACAGACCTTTGGATTCTTTTTTTAATTTGCTTTTTAAGCAGGATTTGACGTTTGGAACAAACCTCTTGCAGTTGAAACATGTTGCTTATCTGCCTTGAAACTGTTTTCACATATGCCTTTGTTTCGGGAATAAGCCGTTTCGAATGTCTGTCCTGTGCTGTAATGCGTGCTACAGTTCGGTGTGTGGAATTTGGTCCTTTTCAGAGAAAACTGGTGCTCATCACATCCTGGTCATGTCCCCAGGCCAACACTAGCTCTGGTCTGGATGCTGAATGTGGGCTTGGGTTTTTCACCTTCATCCCCACATTCTTGATGTGAATCCCACAGGTCTCAGCTTTGAAGGGGACAAAAAGGGGCTAAAGTTTGAGCCCATAAGAGTGCACTGTAAATAGTCTTTAAGAAGTCAAAATTTAATATTTAGGAGTTGTAATGGGATATGATTTTTTTTTCATTCATGGATCATTCCCTTTGACATGGGACAAGTTTCTTTTGCCACTGTGGTGCAGTCCCTGATGGGTGCAGTGTGGGGCTAAGGAGAGTCCGGAGAGTCTCATGTCTTAAGGTGTGGAGCTGGAAAAGCCACAAAAAATGCAGATATGAGAACATGAGGGGGGAAAATAGAGAGTAGTATCAGTTACGTTTTGTGGGCACTACACTGGTTGCTTTTCTCTTAAACAATAAGCACTTAAGTTTAATGCAAATTAGAAATTAAATACCAGTCACTTTTTATTCCTGACAGTTTTTTATATCGGCAGTGAATCTGCAACTTTGGCCTGGTAAGTTCACCTTTCTCCTTTGGGGGAATTAGCTGGTACCTTTTCAACTGTTTATCTTCAAATCATTTATTTAAAAAAAAAATGAAAATGGGAGAGGAAGAGAGGTACTAAACTGCAGATATATAATATAAAGAGATGCTACAAACAACCCAAAGACAGTAGAAGGATGAAGCTTGCACAGCTGGGAGCAAAAATCTCATTCACTGAATTTCATAAACAGGAATGAAATTAAAACACAGCTAGTTCCTGCAGCAATCTTTACAGAACTCGTGATACTGAGGGCTCAAGAGTAGTTAACTGTATTTTCTTACCCTACTCCAAATGAGGAGAAAAACTCCTGCTCGAATTGAATTGGCTGTCTCTGGCTCAAGTGATAAAAAAGCCCTATAAACTACAAACTTTTAGCACTTCCCCAATTCTGCCACTTCTGTCGAGTTGCCATACTGTGTGTATTAAAGTAATTAAATGCAATTTCTCACTTAAATATGTATTACCCGGGTATGTAACTTTGTTTAACATAAGCATTTTGTATATTGTTTACATTTTGAGAGGTAGCATTATGTTAAAATGCTAATTTTTGTTTCTAGACAGTATTTTTATTACAAGAATAAGACGTGAAGCTGCAAATATTTGATTTGTTTTAAAAGGGATTTTTTGCTTTTTTTTTTTTTTTTTTTAATTCTTGTTTTAGGTCACTTTTTTAACTCAAGTATTTAAAAAGAAAACCCCAGCCCTTTCAATCCTGGTTTTCCAACTGCTCGTGCTAGTTTGTTGTCTGTTTCTGGTGTGAATTTAGTTCTAGTTTGCTGAATGTAGATATTTGTCTGTGGCATGTACCCTGCAGAACACTTTACACTGAAGTGCATTTGACTGGTGAGCGCCGCTCAGCTGGGAGAGTTGCAGTAGGTAGGTAGATCCTCAGATCCCGTCAGAATGCAAGAGCAGCTCTGAGATGTCACTGCTTTATTTTTTTCAAGAAAATGCAGTGCAATTCTTGGTCAGCTGGAGTTTATGGGGTTTGGGTTTTTTTACAATGATACCTTAGTGTGCAGAGTGTCTCTCCCGCAGCTCAAGGCAGTTTGTGTTTGGGAAGGGAGCTGCAGGGTTCCTAGTTCTGCCTGTGCTGGAGGTCTCTCTTTGTGGGCATAGGCCTGATTATCAAAATCAAGAACTAAAGACTACCTTGAACCTCGAATGCGTCGCTTCCCCTTCGAGAGAGCTTCTAGGGCATTAAAAGAGCGAGAGAGGAAAGGCAGAGTGAAGAGTCCCCCTTTGGGTGCTGTCCTGCCCCAAAAGTGCAATAAAAACCCACTCGAGAACGTGCTGCGGCTCCTCTATGAAGGGCGACCCATGTTCTGGAGTAGCAGCGCCGTCCTCAGCGTCGCCCTCGTGTCCCTGCCAGGACAAGGGCCTGGTGGCAGCAGGAGCTCCCGGCTCCCTGCAGGGAGTGGGGGAACCTTCCCCTTGTCCCACGCTGCCGCCTCCTGGTCTGGTTTGATGACGAAAGCCATGAGGATGCAGTTTATCTCTGCGGAAACTTCCAGGGTAGCAGGTGACTACAGATTTCCTCCATGAATGAGGACACTGCATAGCTGATCCCAGACTGTCATTGCAGCAGAAGCTCCAAAAACAAACCAGATGTTCAAAAACGAGAGCTGTTCTCTGCCCATCCGTGTGTTGTTAATGCCCTATTTCAGGTTTGCCTGTCACCTTCCCCTATTCTGCAGAGCCATTCTCCAGTATCCGTATTAGCCACTACTGATTTTCCTTGTTTTGAGATGAATTCTTGTGTAATAGCAATGGCAAAGCTTGGGGAGCCAAGCTCTGGCCATGGAGCATTTCCAGCGGTTTCGGTTTTTCCCACTCAAAACTCCTGTGTTCTTCGTTCAGCTGCTGCGTGCAGCCACGTTGAGTTGTGGCAAGGGAGCCTATTACACACAGGTCACCAAGGTGGGCAGGGCTAATCAGTGCAACTGAAAAAAAATGTGAATAAATTAATCTAAAACTAAAAAAAAAAATCTGCGTTTTTTTCACTGCTGTTTTTTAAATAGGAATTTTAAGTCCTCTGTGCTTGTCTGTTTGCTAGGAGCAGTTTGAGACACTGTTACTGTTTTGAAATGCATGCATGTTACAAGATGAGTCTCCAACCAGAGAAAAATAAAATTAAAACTTTGTGTACATCTGTTCTTTATTGTTGTCATCTTTAAAGTGTTCTAATAGTCAGCTCTTGCTTTGTGGTCATTTTAAGAGAGTCATAGATTAACTACAGCTGGAAAATACCTGTTTATAACTGCCTGCAAATTGAAACTCTTAAATAAGAGCTGAATCTACCCCATCTACTGGACATGAGAACAATTTAGAGATGAGGGAAAGAACTGGTGCCTGAAGGTGGAGCTGAAGGCAAGTCACAAAGATGTAGAGATTACTGAGAGGGATTAGTTAAGTGTGGCTCAGAGAAAAGGTAAGCTGTTTTTGAGAGCTTTGGAGTGAGATGAGAACTTAATCCTAATATTCCGACTTAAGAAAATGCAAGTTAACTACAACAGAGGAGAAGAATTTTATTTAAAAAAGTTCCAAGCAGAGTGGGAGGTGAAACACAGGAGCGGCACTGCCGGGCTAGTCCATGCGAGCTTTGAGGGTCCTCGTGGTGATCTTGTCTTTTTCACTAGAGAGGGACAGAGCAAGGAGACCGTTAAGAAATCAGTGCTAAAGATCTCCCGATTGCCACGTTCTTGGGAAGGGGGAGCGCGCAGAGGTAGGGGAAGAGCAGCACTTACATTATGTGAACTACGACGCCCATTCCGGACAGCGCATCTCTGTCCACTGCGTTCAGCATGGCCTGGGAGATGGTTTCAAAGAGGTGATCTGGTTCCTGGAAAACAGAAACTGGTTTAGCAGGTGTGAAAAATTGAATGTTGCACCCCCAGATTCTGCTCAAACCCAGTTAGCACCGAAGAGGCTACAAGATTTTCCCTGCAAGCTGCTGTAAGCTACAGCCTCTCTTCTGAGCTCCTGGACACCTCAGAGGACAAAGCGCCACCCAACTGGGGCATCTCGTGCCTTCCCGTTAACAGCAGGAAGGAGAACCCAGGCCTGGGAGCTGAGCCACCACCTCGCTCACCATGTCGGGCTCCCAGAGGGACTCGCACATGCCGTACATCTGCTCCGTGCAGGTGCCGCTGACCACAAAGTCATCGGTGACCATGGGGCAGCCGATCAGGTCTAGGGAGCAGACGAAAGGTTCGTACGTTACAGGGTCCAGACCAGCGATGACTGGTTCCGTGTAGTAAGGTCCAAACCTGGGAAGAACAACGTGACAGAGCAGTCCAGCCACCCTGAAGCAGCTCAGGTAACACCTAAATAACCATATACGATTATTTTAAGCAATAAGATCTGAAGGGACTCCTGAATTTGGGCAGAATTTAAATAACAAGTTTGAGTATTTATCAAATAATTTAGATTCAATAGAACGCAATTGTTTAAGATGGACTGAAGCTGCACTTTCATACAGATCAAGTTTTATTTTCTAGTATTTCCCTCCTAGCTGCTCCTTTCTGTGTGAGGAGGGGCTATTGCTCCCTTCAGTTACACATCAGACTGACATCTGTGCTTCAGTCCTCGGCCACCTGCAGTACAGAGGCTCACTCATTACTGCTGATAAGCAGTAATAAGCAGTAATAAGCCGTCGGAGTTGCACATGAGCAGAAAGGCTGAGCTGTGGTTAGCAGGGGCACAGATCTGTTATTAACCGAGCACGAGTTAAGCTAACACGGTCACCAAATTGAATGTTTTCTTCCCCGTGCTCCAGGTCCCTCCAGGAGCGCTCCTCAGCCTCCCGCGCGCTCGGGCTGCCTTCGCTAACGGGGCAGAAGCGACGCCGCGGTGGGACAGTTACCGTCTCTCGTAGAGCAGATTAGACACCATGCTCATAAACGTCTGCGGCTTGATCTGCCGCCCCTCCTTCAGCTCGTACAGGTTCAGCCTGAACTTCAGTCTCTGGGCACTGCAAAAAGAGAAGGGAAGCAGTGTTAGGTGCAGAAGGAATCGCTTCTAGCAGATCCTCACACAGCCCTGGAGGGTTTTATTGCCCTGACCGACACTAACTGCATGGGCAGGTGCTCCAGGGGCACCTCCTTTTACACCTGAAGTCGTCGCCTCTTCCTAGTGACAGGCTTTTCATTCAGATGTAATTTAATCAAAAAACAGCCCCCCTGCTTGTATTCCAAAATGAGCAGGAGCTTAATAAGCCCAAGAGACAGAGGAGTAGGAAACAATAACAAATTCGTGCTACGAAATCAAAGACAAACAAGGACAGAAATCAGAGCCTTTTGCTGGAGAATGACCCTGGAAAAACCCCAGTGAGCGGAGACCATGGCTGCTGCTCCCTGCGCCCTCCTGCCGTTTACTCTCCATGTAACCGCCTGCTACGCGGAGCCAGAGGCCCGGGGCAGCACCCACACGGTCTGCACGTCGGTGGCCAGCCCCGCCCGGCCGAGGTCGAGCCG